GAGTTGTGGGTATCTCTCGCGCCTTTTTGGCAGCGGGAGCTCGCTCAGTGCTGGCTACCCTGTGGGCCGTGGATGACAGAGCCACGAAAGAGTTCATGATTCGTTTCTACGGACATCTTAAGCGCGATAAACTGAGTGCTAGTGAGGCCCTTCACCAGACCATGAAGTGGATGAGAGATTCCAAGAGATACAGAGTCAATGAGTGGGCACCATTTGTTCTGTGCGGAGATGACGTCAATCTGGACTTATAAAAAGGTGTTATACCTTTGAACGGAACAACGAAAACAATCTTTCATCGAATCCAAAACATTAACTACTCTTCTGATGGTGTATGTACGTTTTATCATTTAAGCTGGCATTTCGAGAGTAACATGCAGTTGTTGATGATTTGTCATAGCTTTCAGCAAACATCGAGAAATCATTAACTGATTAAGATCAAGATGAATCTTTTCTTATTGATTTTGTTGATGGTGATGTTCTTTATTTTTTCTCAGACGTTCGACCTAACGTGAGGTCAAAAACTTTTAGCGATAGTTCTAAAATTGTTTCGAGGTTATAATTACAGCAAACCTCGATATCGTACAAAACTTATAGCACAAATAGCATTATGCAGTCCTATGCAAATTTTAGTTGGTTAATTTGGAGCACAATAGCGAGAAGTCTGCCCAAACCAAGAGTCCCAAACGGACCTTTTTATTCAAAATTATGTTGCGAATTTTCCAAGAACAATTTTTCTGATGATAAGTTTTCAACATGATGTATAGTAACCTACATCATTTTATCTTTGCAGTTAACGTTGAAGCAAGTTAAGCAAGGAATGTGCAAATCCTGCGACAACAAAAAATTAGCTTGTCTTTGACTACTCAAGTAGTTTCTTTTGTGAATTTTAATGTAGGTAGAAAACTGCGATAAGTTTGTTATAGAGCCAAAATACGCAATCAGTCATTTTTTATTGGAGAAGGACGAAGTTAATTTGCTTGAAATCGCATGAGCCAGTAATTAAGTTGTGTTAACCCTTTAACTACCGGGAGTGATTGAAACGTTACTTGCAAAAAAATTAGCTTTTCTTTGATTACTCAAGTAGTTTTAATTTTTTTGTGAATTTTTTATGTGGGCAGAAAACTGCGATAAGTTTATTTTAAAGCCAAAATACACAATCAGTCGGTTTTTATTGGAGAAGGACGAAGAATATCTAATTTAATTTTTCGCTTTGTTAATTTGCTTGAAATCGCATGAGCCAGTAGTTTAGTTGTGTTAACCCTTTAACTTCTGGGAGTGATTGACACGTAACTTTCCCTTATATTACCCATACATTATCTAGCAAACAGGTATATATTTATATTCATCTTACGCCAAATTCTCGTAACCTATTTGTATGGAAATGTGTAATAGCTAGAGGGGAGAACGAACAATTGGTTCATGAGAGTTAAAGGGGCTAGTGAGGAATACCTGCAGCTGAGCTACAAAAGCATCTTTTCATTCACATCTTCTCGTGAAATTTAAAGTTTGTTGTGACGATCATATGTATATATTACTAAATTACGTAATGTCCAATCCGGAATTATCTGCATTTGTTTTAAATTTAGGGTATCTCGTTTCTTTTTAGCCTATAGGCCACAGTAAGGCCGCAAATACGTTCTTCGAAAAAATGTTTTTACTCAAAAAATTAGAATTAATTATCTTGTGGAAGTCTTCCTAAACAAGTCTGCAATGGTCACGACCTGAATACAATACAAAAACTTACCAGGGAATCAATGTGTGAACCATTGACATAAAGTTATAGGAGCTAAGAAAAATTCTGTCAGGGTTAGGTATTAAGCGGTTTCCAAAACCAAAGTGATCACAACAGCCAAATATAACAAAGTTTAGAATCATCACTAGACAATTAAAACTAAAAGTAGAAAAAAAAACAGGCCATTGGTTTTAGTTTTACATCTGATTGGTTGAGATGATGGCGCGAATCTTATTGACCAATCATGAAGCGAAGGAAAGCCAGACTAAAGCAACCTCTGTGACTTTTGACACTAAACTAAAAACTGATTTAATGCAAACATGTTCTTGAAGAGGTATTATTACACCCGGGGATCATCTTAGTACACATGTGTGAGACACAACTAGAGGAGCTTACTTTAGCGCAGATATGCTTAATTGACACTCGTCTTTTATAGTGAAATCTTTCCTCTCATCTTTGTTTTCGATGGAGAACTCAGCGTGTATCGAGACACGAGCAAAACTTCTCTGTTTTTTCCAGACACACGGCTGTGTCGGTGACGAGTAAAGGAGATCAGTTTGGAAATCTATTTCATATATCCTGGGCGATTCGAAGCGGCGCGTCATTTCGGGAAGATACTCGGACACTTACTTCTAAAAATATCAAAGTTGTACACTCAACAGTCTCGTAGCCGCGCCAACTTTCCATAGGTACGGGTATGAGTGCGCTTTCCTTATAAGGATGTGACTGATAGGACAGCAGCACACAGGTGCTAAAGATAAAGCCATTCATCTGCACACACCACTGCGCACTTAATCGGCGCATCGGTTATCCCCTTCTCTTTTCCATTGTTTAAATTGTGTTTGTCGAACGCGCTAACGACCTGCTCAATCAAAATATTGTGACTTCATATGCTCCAGAGGAGATGATTGCGGTTTAAGAGGTAATAATCTGAATGTATCCCCCAGTGTACTTTGTTTCATGGGTTAGAGTCGTGGAGAAAGTATTAAACGGGGTAAGTTTCTGAAGAAACTGTGGTGCTGTTTCGAGCGTTAGACCTTCGTCAGAGCGCTCTGCAATTTGAAGAAAGTCGCCAATGATTAGCTACAAAAAAACTCGCTGATTTACTGAGTTTTTGGATTTTTTAGATGCGATTTTCACTAATCGAAAAGGGACACGTAAACCCCATGACATGTAAGCCCCATGAGCTCAGGTAAGTTCCAGAGAAGAAACGTTTTTACTTGGGCTTTCCAAAGTAAACGCCCGATTTGAAATTCCGACTTCGTTTTTCTTCCGTTTAGTTGCAAATCGCAGTCAAGTCCTTAAAACGCATGCACGACGGTTTTTTTCTTTTTTACTCAGACGCATGCGCGATCTTTTCACTGATAAGCACATGGCATATGGTGTGATGGCGGAAGAAGAGAAGTTTTAGCCGTGCAAAATCAGCACAGATACTAAGTATAGTACGCCGAAAACGCATATAAAATATGCACACAGCGTTCGTGGTAGACCCACACTAAAAGATGTCGAGCATTTTCGGAACGGATTGGTCTGCGAACCTTTTGAGAAATCTCTTTATGAGCGAACATTTATGAGTGAACCTTCAGCAAGAAACATGCTGTTCTGTTATGGAAATGCTAAAAACTATTGAATAAAACGACATTTAAGTTTAACTGTTGTGAAAAAATTCGTCAAAGTATAAGAAAGATAAAATATCGAGCCAGTCAATATTTAACATTGCTTTTTTCTTGTAACAAACTGATGTGTTCTCCCAAGAGTAAGGCTCACAGCAAGTTATTGTAACTATAAATTAAGTAGAGACAAAATCCTTGTCCTCAAATATATGTTGACCTTACCAAAACAATAGCAGCTCCATATAGTCTGGGTAACGAGTTAGTTTTTAGACAGAATGCAGTTCAACAATGTGTGCCAATGAGTTCATGCTCTTTGATTTACAATAACACATATGGGAACAGCTCTGCATATGAACTTATACCTCATAAATAAATTTTTTAATTTTTTTTGTTGGATGATAAGTTCCACTATTAAACCCTTAAAAAATAATTATCAATGTAATTAGTAGACATGTAGTCATATGAAAAAATTTTAAAACTATCCTAATCTTACAGTGTGTCTTTATCCTCAGTGCTTATATACAGAATGAAAACAACTAGATAATCTTCATATGCAAACGAAAATTTGCAATTACTGTAATTAGCAGACTCTGAATTTTTTGTCCATTATCAACTGCTACAAACTAAATAGTCATTTTTCATTCAAGGGCTATTGAAAAAAGTGGTTTTGATTGGAGTGATTTCAATAAGCCTGGGTACTGCAGATGAATCATATTGAAGTTATTACATACTAAATGCTTTGTCACCTTTTGTTACTTTGCATGTTTTAGAGTAATTTTCATTGCCCCATGAAATAAAAAAAAGAGACTCTTTGGTTTGTAGTAGTTGATATAGAACAAAAGAAAACGAAAGATTCACAACACACCACCAACTGTTAGTTACCCTATTTTTTCACAGAAAATGAAAGTCGCTTAAAACACCAACAGTTAATTAGTACTCTCCGGGTTTAATGAAATCACTCTAACCAATAAACCAGAATGAATTAACTAAAGTATACTAGCCCTGTAACTCAAAATAGAAACAAACAAATTGGAAGGTAATAGTGCAAAATATGCTAAAGTATATTTCACAGGTTTATGAGAACCACTCTAACAACCCCATAAAATTAATTGTTCATCTGCTAATAAGCTCTGGTGGTGACGTTTTTTTTTTTCTCTTGGTGATAAGAAACTTAAACAATTGATTTTCTTGCGTGGGTTAAGTATCATCACCCTAGCACTTGGGGCTGTTATAATTAAAAGCTATCTCAGCCTGGAATCTTTTGTTAACCTAGAAAAAGAAAACATAAAAGGACAGCCTACTAGTTGGCAAATGACTTACCCCGCTTCGGCCCCTTAACCCACAAAACAAAATTTGATCAAGTCAAAACTGAAAAAAATGTAGATAGTGTCTAGTAATAAGTATTGAAATGATAGCCAATAATATGTGGCACTGCCTCTCCCACCCCACCCCAGAAAAGGATCTTCACACTAAATAACAAATGCTGTTTTCCGCTCTCTGTATACATATGTGAGAAACCTGCATCTCTGGCATACTAAGACAGAGAACATTTACAGGATGAACCAATAATTGCATAAAAAACTTAGGCAAATGTAGGGACAAAAAAAACTTTCTCTCCAACAGAAAGCCTGAGTGAACGCAAATACGCATTCAGTTTTTTTTTTAATAAAACTGTTCTAACTGTAGGAAATGGACACCACTACATCAAATTGCATGTACATATCACTGTCTTCTTTCTTCTCTAAATGGTGCTAGAGTTGAGGTCAAGCAGGTTTTCTCTCCACGCTGTAAATGGATTGCAGGTTAGTGGACGCTGGTTAATGAGTCAGAACAAATAAATGAGCAGAGAGTTTTCAAAATGCTGCATGCGCGGGAGGAAATTGTCAAGGTGGATTACCAAGCAGTGAGACAAATCAAAGAGACAGCTTGTGTTGAAACTGGATTCTGCCATCAATGAATTGATTAGCAAGCGTGTGGTCACAACAATTGAGCTGAAAGATTCTGATGTGCACAAGATGCCCAGGAGAAAGACAGTCATTAATATCCTGATGGTAAGTATTGCATGTGGCTTTTGCTGTACATTGATTCTCATTTTCTATTTTGGATGATGATTTTCATCGTGATTTACATGTTTAATGTTAGCCTTGATCAAAGAGTCTGATGACTCAGGAGTACTTTGTTACTGCAGCCTGGTGAGAATCGGACAAAGCTTACTGTTTTCTCTTACAGATCAATGTACTCGACTCAGGAGAACACTCAAAAAGCTTTAAATTACTTGCCTCCAGCTTGAGATTTAAAAACTTTTTTCTCAACATCCTGCATGTGTTATTTTGGGGGTAAACCATAGAAAGTGTCAGTGGTCTTGTAGAATTCAAACATACATATGTGTATATATATATATATATATATATATATATATATATATATATGTGTGTGTGTGTGTGTGTGTGTGTGTGTGTGTATGTATGTATGTATGTATGTATATATATATATATATATATATATATATATATATATATAAACATACAACTGCACTGTATTTGATTTTTGTTTAGTGACCACAAATCAATTGACAGTTTTGACCAAGTTAATTTGCTTTTAGACCACTTGCCCAACCACTTGCCTTGCAGTGACAAGTCAAACCAAAGACCCAAGCCAGCTCAGCTTCCTGACCATCCTTTGCAAACTGACGCTGTAAAACATAAAACTTAAGATTCTTATGCATGCCAAAAAGACAGTTGTTCAGACAGGGTAGTGCATGTGCATATGCATGCACATAAAGGCTAGTATTCAGTCAAGTTTGCAAGCGACTTTGTAGAATTTTGCTGGTTACTTCAGTCATTTGCTGAAGTTGCTACTAAGGTCACAGTATGGATTTACTAGTATATGCACTGTAAAATGTTATAACTCACACAGTTGCCTTTTTTTTTACATCTTCCCACTTCAAAATGTATTGTAAACTCTGTCTTCAGTCAATAGCTCAAGTCGATACACATAAGATATAAAGATTTATTTAAAAAATCATACCCAACATACTTGACTTTTGGAAATATTTTCTGTCAGAAGTTATAAACATGAAAGAAACAAAAAATATTGTTATTGTTGTCTTGATGTACATTTATCAATCCACATAGTTTATAATTGTATTTTGTATTTGCCATCAGTGTGGTTTTCTCAAAAGTTTCCTTTTATATTTCTTTACACCTTAATTTTGTCTGCAAGTGTTGTGTCGTCTAGATTCAGTCAAGTTACTTCTTTCATTGCTATTGCTCAACTGAATTTTATTAGAGAATCAACAAGCTATATTCACAATACAGTACTAGGAATCAGTAATATTACTTTTACATAGGAATGTACTTTTACAATCATGTACCGATCGTGTCTTACAGGATATAGCGTGACTATAGTAACGCTTAGGTAACGCAATACACTACAGCAAGAAAATACTCCCAGGCAGGGAGGAAACTCTTGTATCACTATCATTATTTTACAGTATTGTTAGCCTTGAAAATCTGTCAGTGAGAGTTTCAAAAAGTTGTTAGCATAAAATATTTCAGGGTAGGATTGCTATGTCAAAACAAAATATTCTTCACACCTATGTTCACAAAATTGAGTGCTGTTAGCTGCATTGTACTTTTTGCAGAGTACAGTGCTCATTGTGCTGTTTCTTTGTAGTTGCAATTTAAAGAGTGTATTTATGCTAGTTTCCAGGCTTAACCTGTGGAATATTCAGTAGTTTCTTAAACACTGTTTTGATGTATGTCTATCTTAGTCAAAGCATGGACTCTACTTGAAGTTCCACAAGCTGCAATTTGCTGCCTGCTTGACTGTCTTTGCAGTGGTGGCTGTTATTGGAGTTCACGCACCTTCACCTGCTGTTTGTGGGTGTTCTTCTGCAAACCACCAGCCCCAGGCAAGAATATCAACCTCAAAGACTTTGAGGACAAGTTTTCATATGATGGGGAGTTTGAAGCTCCAGCTTTGGAACATAAGGTTCCCATTGAGAAGCAGAAGTTGGTCATTGATGCATGAAAGCTACTTTTTTAAAAATACACTTGTAATTGTTAAACTTAAGCTAGTTATCTTTTTTTGTTTTTGTAATGGTGAGTTGCTCTATTTGTCTGACATAGTTGGGTTGTTACATATCAAGCATGATTAATTGTACCAAAACTGTATGTATACTGGTATTTAGTATGATGTAATAAAGTCAAAAGGTTCAAAGTCTGATCAGGACCACAGTGAGCTCTGATAGCTGAAGGTTTTCCATTGAGTTTGTTTGGCCCAGGGCTTCAAGCAGCTTTCTTTGTGTTTCAACTTAAAATCTCAAAGCTATGTTATCTATTGTGAACTCAAAGCTATTATTTCTGAATATATATACAGGAGCAATCAACCAATTAAAATATACACTCTAGAAAGTTACGGTCAAAATGTATTTTTTTGTTAAGCTTGTGTACTATCCACTCTGTCAGAAAATCAGGAATTTTACCAGTATTTGTGACTTGTGTTATTTCAAGGTTGCATATTAAGGTTAGTGAACAGGAGAGGATTAGACTGTAACTTGTTCCACCAATTCTGTGGGCAAACTATGATAAATTGCATTAGAAAATACAGCAAACAAAAAATCATGATCCTAAACCTACTAAACAATCTCTAGCACCCCTATTTCCATTCCAGAAAAATTCATGGAGAACAAACTTTTGGAACCCTTGTGACCATGATGACAAAGTCTTGGTCACTGTTAGTGAATTTTTTAAAGTTCACAGAGGGACCACTGTTGCTTGAGATTGGTGGCAGTAACTAGTTTCCATACCTTTTTATGATTGTAGGTAGGACACCTTTTTTTTCTTTTGATAGATTGCCAAGCAATGCTTTCTGAGATGTTATCTTTTAGTGTCCCATATCTAACAGTATTCTTTATTTTTTATGTAACAGGAAAAATAGATATTTGAATTGTTTTGTTTGAATAATTACCAGTTTACTTGCTATAGCATTTTACATGATTGCACATCTGTAAGTGGTAAAATCGATTAAGTTATAAGAAACTTTTGTTTGTATATATAGATGTAAACACTTGTTCTGGAATAAATGTGCATGTCACGCTATGGAAAAGTGGGTTTCGAGTCTGTCTGCACTGAATTTTTTTGTTGACCACATTTTTGTGGAGTTGCAGTCTTGCTCTTGGTGCAAGCCCAGGCTGAGTGACTATTGTTCGTTGTCTTATTCTCCGGCTCACTAAGTGATACATCGCTCTCCTGTCAAGTGCAGTATGAGCCTGAGTCGAACATGATTTCTAACTTTGCTCTCTCCTTGTGAATTTTACTCTTTGCAATATTTGGTACTATTCATAACAATAGTAAACCCAGTCAAATATTAAAACTAGTTTCAACAGGCAGAGAGGATCCATTTATAAAGTTGACTCTTACTGAAGGCCCGCTTTTTCTATCATCAGACTGTAATCAGACTAACCCCTTGTTTTTTCTTCCATGTTATTGATTCCTCAGTTATCTTTCCACGTCATTCGTTCATATTGCTCTGTTTTCTTCTTCATAACCTTTATAATGCATTTTCTCTCATTCGACAGCAGTTCATCTCCCATCTGTGGGGGTTCTGCTATAGAGTTGAGGGAGGTCAGCGGACTAGTTTGCAAAGTAAATACGTCAGTGCAAGACTAAGGTAAATACGCGTTAACTTCACACGAGTCAAATACCAAAACATCGCGACAAATAAGAACAAGTTCCTAGAGTGAAACTAAGTGAGAGGTGACAGAGGTTGGTATACATCACTATTCATTGTCTATGTTACAAAATTATCGAAGAAAATCATGGTAAACGCTGTGGGAGCAAATACCGGAAGTAGGGGGAAGTGCGTTTTTAGTTACGTTTGCTGAGGTCTGTTGACACTATACTGGCAGAAATACAACTAACGACTTACGATTTCATCAACTTTCCCCTAAGTTGAAGTTTCTTTTCTTTTTTAACATCCTTAACTGCAAGATGGTCTAATTACAGGAGATTTATTCGTTTCTTTGCCCGAATGTATCTATCCGATTATCAGCCCGCTATGTGTGTATTTATGAGAGGAAATAATCTCAAATTGTTCGATTCAATGAAGGGTTACCAATCGAGTTGCTCTTTTAATTTACGTACCTCCTTGACGGATACAAAAGCAGGTAAACAAAGAAACGACCCTCGTTCAATAACCAGCAATAACTCTTCACCAGGTCCTCTCTAATTCACAAGAAACCGGGCCCTGGCCGTTACACCTTTGAATAAATTAGTAATAATTTGTCTTTAATGATCAGAAATATATGTTTTCTTCTTAACACATTGAGTCACTTACCCACAGACAACTTCTTACTGGACTGTATTTTTAACTTTTAGGATCTGTCGCGGATTTTGCCGTGTTTGTAATAAAAAATCATCCAGCTCCCACGCGTTTCCTTTTAAGTGTCAGACAATAAACTGGTGCCTGCTGTGAACATTGTTAGATTAACAAATAGATTTCTGGTTGGCGTGCGTCTGTTCGGTAACAGTACACAGATGATGTCATCATGTGGTAAGAACTAAAAGCGGCACACAAGGCTCAGCTAAGTGTGTCACTGATATTTTTACCACATTTTGACGTCTTCTGTGATCCATTCCTGCACAAACCCACGGCAACAAGGAACCTATTCGATTATTTGATAAAAAAGAAAAAAATTTAATAGTGACGTCATCCATGTATCCCTCCTCTAATAGATCATGAGTAAGAACCAATCAAAAGGTGTGTAGGATTCAGCTTATCATATAAATGGTCACACTCTCTTGCTTCTGTGAAAATCGTGGTGTGGTGAAGGGCTAATTTTTGTTACCCTCTCCATAGATTCGAAGAAATCCAAATGAAGAATTTCCTCATAACATGCAAGGTAGCAGACTTCCTGTTCAACAGTCATCTGTATCACAAAGCTATTGATATGTACAAGGAGGCCCAAGCCTTGTTGAAAGGAAGCAAAGTCGAACATGGTAACGACCCTGAAATTTTGTTACATTATAAACTAGCACTTTCTTACGGTCGTGTAAATGAGTTCAAGGAAGCATTGGATTGCTACAAAAGACTTTTAAAAATCAACGAAGAAGTTGGGAATAGAGACTGGGAAGTAATAGCTTACAGAGGCATCAGTAACATGCACAGATTTATGGGTCAACACGTGCACTCGATTTTCTTTTTAAGAAAGTTACTTCAAATTGCTGAAGAAGCTAAGGATAAACAAACAGCAATAGAGACTTATTTAGCGATGAGTTATGATTATTACCATCTGAATAAGCGAGATAAATTCATCGAGTTTCACAAAGATGCACTAAAAATCTGTAGAGAGATCGGATATAGACGAAAGGAAGGAGAAATACTTTGTACGCTCGGTGACACCTACAAAGACCTCACTAATTTCCCCGCAGCGATCAGATACCTAGAAAATTCCTTGCAAGTATTCAAAGAAATTGGCGAATGCAAAAATGAGGGAGGCTCGTATCAAGCTTTGGGCATGACCTACCACGAGAAGGGTGATTTTGACAAAGCTCTCGAATACCATTTAAAATCTTTGGAGTTGATGATGAAACATGGAGAGGAAGTCGATGTGGGTGTCTCCTATAACAACATTGGTACCACTTACAATGCGATCGGTAAACACAGCGAAGCACTTGAGTGTTTCAAAAAAACTCTTGAAATTATGAAAAAATGTGGAAACATAACAACACTAGGAAAAGCCCACCACAGTCTTGGCCTGTGCTATGTTTCGATGGGTCGGTTCGCTGACGCTATCGAACACCAGGTTGAAGCGGTAAAAATCCTAGAGGAACCTGGACTAATATTTGAAAAGGGTCGAGCCCTCGCTGTGCTGGGAGCGTCTTACAATAGCATTGGCCACAAAAGAGAAGCTATGAATAGTTATCAGGAAGCCATTAAATGTGGTCAGGCAGTTGGCGATAGGAGACTCGAATCAAATGCCTACTTTGGTCTTGGCGACGTGTGCGTTTGTCTGGGAGACTGTGAAAAAGGAGAGATGTATCTAAAGAAAGCTCTTGTTTTAGCAAAAGATACTGGAGCTAAAAGCAACGAGGCCGAGGCCTACGCAGGACTCGGGTTCTGCTACATGTGTTGTGGTCGACATACCGAATCTGTTGAAAACTTCAACTTAGGAATTTCTCTAATGCAAGAAATTGGAAGTAAACCCGGCGAAGCTACAGCTTTGATGAATCTCGGATCCGTACACCAGAAAATTGGAAAACGTAAGGAAGCAAAACAATTTCTACAAAAAGCACTCCGAATTACACGACAAATCGGAGATAAAGGAGCAGAACAAGAGGCTCTTACCTTGCTAGGGATTTGTCATACGAAGGAAGGAGAGGTAAAGAAGGCATATGATTGCTTTTCACAGAGCATCACTCGCGCTGAAAAGAACCGTGAACTACTGCGCGACGAACATAAACTTTCACTGGACAATATGACCTTTGCCAGCTATTACGAATTATGTTCGCTTCGTATCAGTCAGGGACATTTTGCCGAGGCGCTGTGTAACGTAGAGCGCGGACGTGCACGAGCTCTTGGCGACTTACTGTCCGAGAAATATGGTATCCAAAGACACAATTCACACGAATTTTATCTTAATAGTGTCAGGGATCTTTCTATCAAGAACCCACTGAGTACGATCCTTTTCATGGCTACGCATGGGTTTGACAAATATTTCTGGGTTTTGGAGAATGGAGAAGTTCAGTTTAGGTCTTTGATATGTAAAGTGGCAAAGGACGCCATCGAGATGCTCACGAGTTTGCTAAGACGAAAATCTGTGCCTGAATGCGAAGATCGCTCACTGTCAGCATACTATGGATTAAGACCATCGTCGGATGAAAAAAGAGACAAACGCGGGCAGCGTCTCCTGGAAGAAGAAGAGGAAGAAAAGGAGGACACTGACCTCTACCAGTGGTATAATGATATTTTCGCCCCTATCGCTGATCTTGTTCATCGTCAAGACATCATCATCATCCCAGAAGGAGAGGATTTTATGGTGCCATTTTGCGCATTATGTGATCACAACGACAAATTCCTGTCAGAGACCTTCCGGATCCGCCAGATTCCATCACTAACAGCACTAAGGATGATCCAGGAAAGTCCTGGAGACTATCACAGTGTAACTGGGGCGTTGATCGTGGGTAATCCCTCTGTTCCCCCCCAAACAAAGTTGCAATCATTGCCGGAAGCAAGTAAAGAAGCACTGGAAATTGCAGAGTTGTTGGGTGTGTCGGCTACTTTAGGAGATGAAGCCACCAAAAGACACGTTCTCCAACGGATTCGGGAAGTCAGCTTGATCCACATTGCTGCCCACGGTGATGCAGAAAGAGGAGAAATTGCTCTTGCTTCAAATTGTCCATCCAGGCGATCTCCAAGGAAGGGTGACTTCATGCTTACCATGGAAGACGTCGTAAGAGTTGGTACCCGAGCCAAGCTGGTTGTACTCAGCTGTTGTCATAGTGGTAAGGGACAGATTATGAGATCAGAGGGAGTTGTGGGTATCTCTCGCGCCTTTTTGGCAGCGGGAGCTCGCTCAGTGCTGGTTACCCTGTGGGATGTGGATGACCGAGCCACGAAAGAGTTCATGATTCGTTTCTACGGGCATCTGAAGCGCGATAAACTGAGTGCCAATGAGAGCCTTCACCAGACCATGAAGTGGATGAGAGATTCCAAGAGGTACAGAATTAGGGACTGGTCACCGTTTGTTTTGATCGGAGATGACATCACTCTGGACTTATAAAAAGGTGTTACACCTTTGAACTGCTTAACAGAAACAATCTTTCATCGGGTCCAAAACTTTAACTATCCTACTGATGGTGTAGATAGGTCTTATTATTTTAGCCGGCATTTTCAGTTGAAAGTAACATGCAGTTGCTGATGCTTGGTCATAATGTTCAGCAGAAATCGAGAAATAATTAACTGATTAAGAATTTGAACAAAAAAATTAGAGTACAATGGCGAGAAGTCTGCCCAAACCAACTGTCCCAAACGGACCCTCTTTATTCAAAATTATGTTAATAATTTTCCAAGAACAATGTTTTTGAGGATGAGTTTTCAACATGATGTACAGTAACCATACATCGTTTTATCTTTTCAGTTAACGTTGAATATAATTTTAACAAAAGTGAGTACATGTAAACCATAAAGCAAGGAATGCACAAATCCTGCCAAAAAAATGTAGTTTTTCTTTGATTACTAAAGTAGTTTTTTTTTTGTGAATTTTGATGTAGGCAGAAAACTGCGATAAGTTTATTCTAGAGCCAAAATATAAAATCAGTCAATTTTTATTGGAGGAGGACGAAGAACATCTACCACATTATTTAATTTTCGCCTTGTTAATTTGCGTCATATTTGCTTGAAATTGCATGAGCCAGTAGTTAAGTTGTCTTAACCATTTAACTCCCACGAGTGATTGACTCTCAACTTCTCCCTATTTTATCCATACATTATCCAGCAAACAGGTAACGAGAATACTCAGATTTATTAGGTGGGAGTTGTTACATT